TTTCGTTGTTCCTACAGCCTGCATTGTTTTATTATTGGAACCGGGACTTTTTCTCACATTTACCTGATAAGAAATCAGTTAAAGGAAGCTGAAACAGAAAGCATAATGAAAATCAACAAGAACACTGACGCAAAGTGAAACAGGTTGCTGCGGACACATACACACACACACACACACACACACACACACACAGACAACCCGCGACAAAATGCCTTTTGTACTGCTGTTACACAGCATGATAATCAAAAAAAAAGCCCTATCACCACTATTGCATTATTTATGCATAATCTACCATGTCTTAACCACAATTATACTGCGAGAACGGAGGGAGGAGGAGTAAACACATTACCGAAATGTTTAATAACAGCTTCCAGTTGGTGAGGAAGATACTTTATCGTGGTCCAGGAATAGCAGTATCCCTGGGCGCCAACCAGAAAATACCATAAGAATGCCCCGGGATAGCTGAAATCCCGCCAAGTGTTTCGATCAAGGGAGCCCTTGTACTAGTAATGCTTTCAGGAGACAAAACAGATATCAGAATCATATCAGCAAACTGATCAGCAGGCAAAGCAATGTCCCTGAAGCTGCTACAAGCATAGGTAAAGGATCAGATTATGAATATAACGGCATTTCAAATGTGTAGGCTAAAAATGAAAAAAACCAGTTTTTATTGCGTAACTTAAAAGATACCTTGATTGATTTTACCAGTTTTCGCTGTTCCAGTGTATTCAAAACTTTTCGCATCCTTGTTTGTGATAAGCCCGTCCGATCACGAATATCCCGTATCCATATTCCTTTCTTCCCGGATTCTTCAATCAATGAATAGATCTGTAACAATACCATCCCACAGAACTGGAATAAAAATCGATACCACGATCCGACTATGGCGGTTCTGGTCTTCTGCTATGTGCCAGTACCGGTATCAATTTTGAGTTAAGACGTATATGACATAATGAATCGAAACGTCTTACCCCACTTCTTAATTCCTACTCTTACTCTGAGTTCCAGGGTTAACCTGGACTTTATGAATCACTTACTATCGAAACCAATGAACGAATCGTTAAAGAGATTGGTTGTCTCACTGGCGAAGGCGAACCTTTAACCTTACGAAAACAGTGCTGCTGTACTTATCTTACAACAACTGAGAGATATAAGACTTAATTTATCAGTTTCTGAGAAAAACTGAAATTTTTCATGTATTTATTGCCGTTTCATATGTGTCCCAACAGTTACATGGTGTTAAGCGATTATCAGCAAGCTTCGTACCACGATGGTACTACAGTTGGTACCCTCGAACAGTCATTTACATAAAAAAATTTGACTAGAAACCCGACCCGGGATAGTTACACCATTTAAGGCCTACGTTAAAAACTCATTAGATCATCTGGTATATCGCCAGTTACATCGGAAAGTTTGCGAAATTTTGAGGCAGAATATTTTACCAGTTGTTCCTCATTCGAAGCACCCTGAAGTTGGGTACCTTTGCGTAAGCGTAGGGTAAAAGCGCCCGTTGTTTTCCCCTGTAACATCTCAATTTTGCCCGCTGACAGCAAAGAATTCACGGCTTCGCCACGCGTTTTCGCATCCATATCGGTAGTTTGATCCATCAACTCCTGATTGCTCAATCCACTGCTTTTCCCTGCCAATAGCGCAAGGATTGCCGCCTCCGAGGGGGACACCTCGTCCTTGACCATTTTTGCAAACCTGCAAACACAGCAGACGCCCTACTTCTGTTTCAATTCGCGCACTTTTGCAGTACCATCGCATATG